TTGAATCATGACCCAAGAATAATGGGCTCATGCACTCAAACCCCATTCCTTGTCTCTCTTTCACATGCAACAAAACTATTTGGTCCTCCATGTTTTATACATTTAATTTGTCTTTACATTATTTATGACCATGTTTGACGAGTAAATATACATAGAATCTAGTCACCAACAAGGGATGTGCTGAAGTGGTAACTTGTAAGTGTTTCATCCTTAATCAGAGATCTTAGGTTCGAGCTCCTTTGATAGGATCGAAAATGACCTCTGTTAAAGAGCGTTTTGCTCCATAACGTGAGATTTCCTGGCACGAATCTGGTCATAATATTGTTATAACATAAATTTGTTGAAACAAGAAGTTCAACTCTGTTTAATTATTTTTGTTATGTATGTATAGATATCATATGCATTTCATTTTCATAGAAGAAAACTTGGACATGGAGAAGAGGCTCAGCTGAGGATAAGGACGAGGATGAAGAAATACAGTAGTGGAACATGCCCACATGCCCTTGCACATGATATTTCATGAACTACTTGCATAACCAAAAGAATTAAAAAATATATATATTTTTTTTTAAAAGATGAAAGAGGGGAAAATGTAAGATTTTATAATATACTAGTAATAAATATATGCTAATCACATCTTCATACACCCCACATTTTTTTTATTTTAAAAAGTAAACTGACTTTGTGTGTTTGTTTCCATGCATAATGTAAGGACATATAATTAGTTCTATACAATGCATATATATATGTTGTAACATCTCGCAAATTGAAATAACTAGGAAGAAGCTAAGAATTGAAAATAGTGATTTTTGGAAATAATGGAAATCTGGAAATTTGTTCAAGTTAAGTTAAGAATGAGTTTTGGGTCAATTTCAAACGACCATAACTCCTAGCTCAGGATGATTTAGGTGTGTTTCCAGATACTGTAGGAAAGATCGTTGAATTATCTTTCTAACGCCGCCAAGTTTGCTTGATTCCGAGTTTGTATGAGTGAGATATGCCCATTGAAAATTGGGTTGTTCGAATAAGGAAAGGCAAATCCGAATTTTGGAAGGGTAGTTTGGTCTTTTCCATACCCAACTTAATTAATTCGTTTTTGGTAATATTTTTAAGGTCTAAACTGATAGTATCCAGTTTATGCTTTGGAAAAAATAGAGTTATGGTTTTTGGAGAAAGAACGCAAGAGAAAAAAGGAGAAAGGAGAAGAAAAGCTCAAGATTCGCCAAGATCGTGCGATTTGGTTGTGGATTTCGCCAAGGATTTAATCTTACAAGGTATGTGAGACTTTCATAGAGTTGGGTTCGTTCACCCACGCGCCAAACATGTTTAGTTCAGCGAAATTCGTTCTAAAAAGGTTGAAAGTTTAATGTTCTTGATGTGTATTCTTGAAATTGATGTCGTTCTTGAATTGGGCTGATATTGAGAAGTTTTGAGATCTTTACGTCGAGTTTTAGAGTTGCTTTGAGTTAGGTTCTTGGGTACAAATGATGGGTATCTGAATCTAAAGAGAATTTGAGAAAAATAGTCTAGTTTAGGCGAATTAGGACTGGAAAACGAAGAAGGAAAAAGTCGGGTGAATCTGGGTAATGGGGCCGCGTCGCGGACCTGCCCCTCAGATTCGAGAAAAAGCTCTTCGCGTCGCGAAGCGGTCATGGACCGTTGTGCCTCAAAAATTATTTTCACAATAAAAAAATTAAATACATCTTCGCGTCGCGGACCTACTATCAGACAGTTCTCATGTTTAGCCATCTAAAATCATTCCTAAACATCATAAGATCTTTCCTATCACAAATCATTATCATTGAATCCATAATTCAATTCAAGGAAAGCTAAGAGTCAAGTCAAGAGAGTTAAAAGTCAAGTAAAAAAAGTTAAGAGTCAAGTTAAGAGAAAGTCATAAAGTTTTTCAAAAGTCTTTTACAAACGTTTTAACATTGTTTTAAGACTTAAGTTTTAAGTTAAGTAAAGAGTAAAGATTGAAGTCATTTCCAAAAGAGTTTTTGAGCTAGTTTTCAGTAAAGAGTAAGAGTAAAGTTCATTCTTCAAAGATTATACGAGAACTAAGTATTCCCAAGAGTTAAAATGTTTTCACATTGAGTAAGAAAGGAAACTAAGATTTTCAAGAGAGTTTTTAGGCCAAGTTTTTGAGTAATTATCTCAAATCAAAGAAAGAGTTTTATTTTTACAAACATATGAGCTAAAGTATATTTTGGGAGTAGTATTGAGCACCGATATTGAGACGAGTTTGAGTTCAGATAACTGATCACGTCTCTATAACCCATGTAGTCATCATGGGTAGTAAAAGATCATACTTTTTAGATGATTCCTTAAGTGTTTTTTAGCATAGACTAGTGGATCCACTTAGTTAAGGCGTTCTATATGACGACAAAGTATAAGACAGTTCTGACAGCGTGGGCAAGACGATGTATCACCACTTAGGCTTATAGTGATGGTTGTCGGTTAGAGAAACTCCCACATAAACTATATTATTTTCTTATATGAGTAAAGTTGAGTTTGTTATTGCATTTTCTTTAACGAAATAAGTTGTTTTTCTACTGTTTTAAAGGCTTTCTATATTGCATGTGTTTTATTGCTTTATATTGAGTTAAGTTATTTAGGAGTTGAGTAAAGCCAAGGTAAGTGTTTCTTTCAGATTCTTTTCAAGCTTAAGTTATGCTTAGCATTCCAACTCGCATACTCGTACATTCAATGTACTGATGCCAGTTGGCCTGCATCGTCTTATGATGCAGACACAGGTAACCAGGATCAGCATCCAGCGCCTCGTTGATCCAGTTGAGCACTCAGAGTCAGTTGGTGAGCATTCCCGGAGGATCCTTTTTATTGCTTTCAGTATTTTAGTTCATTAGGATGTCGTGGGTCTTGTCCCGACGTCCATCTCAGTTGTTTAGAGGCTTCATAGACAGAGTTAGTTGATGTTAGTTCATGAGTCTTTACTTTCCCTTTTCAGTTAAGTTGAGACTTGAGTTGCCATTTTGGCTAGTGAATGTTCTATATACTTTTTAAGTTATTTATTGAGCAGTTCAGTTTACTTTTTAAAGTATTTTATCTTGAGTAAAATCTTTCGCTGAGTAAGTAAGCCAGACCAATGGTTTGCTTGGGGCCAACAATGGTTCTCGAGTGTCGGCCACGTCCAGGGTGTAGGCTCGGGGAGTAACATATGTACTCTCCCTGTTATTATTTATATGTTGTCCTTATTAAGAATAGTTGATTCTTAATATTTGTTATTTCACAAAATCAATACATAATTAACACTATTCTTCTTATTTTACCCTTGAGAGTTATTAGCCTGTATGAATTTGACCAATATAGGAAATTAAATAATTAATTCATGTTTATTGGTCAATTTAATTAGTTAAAATAAATTAATTTATGTTCAGTTATTGAAAATTTAATACTAAATAAGAGTACAATTATAAACTTACATAATTTTTTAAGGGACATAAAATCTAAAATTGTGACATTTAAATAAAAACAGAGGGAGTATATTATATCTATATCTCCTGCTAAGAGCCAAAAGTCTCCTATCCAAAAATTGAAAGAATCGATGTGTATTTGTTTTTTAAATACAAGTACATTGTACTCATATTGAAATATTTCCCCAATTGGATGAATCTCATCGATCCTCCTTGTTGTTCTCATCGACTAAAGGAGTTGAATCAATTGTTTCCCAAATCACGTGGCACTTTGTCTGAAAAGTACTTGTCTATTTATTTATAGTTTTGAATTCTTTTTAAAATAAATTATCTATAGAAAAAGGAATAATTTCTAAATAATTAATCAGCTTTAATAAGAGTTAATAAAATAATAAACTTAATTTCTATTGTTTATATTTTAGTTATACATTCAAATTTCTCTATAACAATCATTCTGTATAGTAATATTTTATCATGCTAATTATGTTTTTTTTTTTAAAAAAAAACTAATCTTTCATACTATGTTATATTATATGTTCTCTTTAATAATATTTTATCCAAATAATTTTAAATAATATCAAAACACGAGAGATTTGACTGTATTATAACAGGGTGTTATTGATTTTTAATTTCCCTCCTTAGAATTGAATGAGGATCAGTGATGATTACTATTCCAGCTGCAATAACCGTTGCCATGGCAGCCTTTATCTTTTCCAACTTCCTTTGCTGTGCTTTTTGTTAGGTTGGTTCTTGGTGGGAGGAAGTTTAAATTGTGGCTATTAAATTAGGCGTTTTTCTATGTTACTATTTCAACTTTCACCTATGAAAAGCTATGAATATGGATGCCAAAAATCTATGTTTTCCACTTTACATAAATGTTGAGAATATCTGAATATGTATTGTACCACTTAACCAACAAATTTCGATGGTGGGACGGATATGATAGTTTTCGTTCTTAATTTGGGTTTTTAGTCATTAGAATATTAAAAAAAAAACTCTAATAAAAACAATTCTCTCTTAATAGACCTCACATGAGGTAACTTCGGACTAATCAAGATCCTAAAACAAGTAATGGATAGCACTCGGGAAATTAAAAAAAGATCTATATATATACTAATTAATTTTACAATATCTTACCAAATTATCCAAGTAATAGCTAGTTTCTTCACTGAAAACAACAAAGGTCAGTAAACATACATACATACAATATATATGTATTTATTTATGGAAATCCTATCAATATGTACAATTCGACCATATTTAAATATATATATTGATCAGGTTTATTATATGTATATGATTATACTTAAATATACAAAACATATTTACTGGCTATTTTACAAACTAGATCACCCAAACCCAAAAATATTGATTTTATTTATCCCTTTATTTTAACTTATACAAACAGACATGTTCAAATGGGCTAGGGGAAGACACAAAATTCAACAATTATTTAATTTTTATATATAGAGAGAGATATAGCAAATATTTTAATACTCCACTTTACTTTAACTACTTTAAATTTCTATCCACACCTCCATTATTACACATTTGGCACTTAGTGGTTAACTGATGAGGCCTATATAACAAGAAGGCACATCAGTGTTAATTTCCCAACTAAGTCTTTCAAATTCAAAAAAAAATCAACAGCTAATTTCTTTGAAAACAAAACAAATAAAATGGTGTCAAGAGTGGAAGAAGCAATGAAAATAAGGCAACAACAGGAGGTGAAAAATTACCAAGTACAAAAGCAATTGATGCAATGCAACAAAGGAAAAACAAACAAGTTCAAGAGGAGCAGCTCTAATGTTGAAGAAGATGGTGCTTCTTCTGCTATTCTTTTGCTTGCTTGTATTGCTTGTGCCTCCTCCCATCACCTATAGAAAAATTAATTATAGATTATCACCACCTGGTTAACCAAAATATTAACGATATGCAGTCACTAATAATTAATCGTCTCTGTTTTATTTTATATGACACTCTTTGTTTTTTTTAAATTTGTGTCAAGAGTTCAATGTATGTTCCGTTTAATCATATGGTATATAGAAGAATGGTAGTACTTTTTTTTTTTGGATAAGTTGTTGCTAGTTCCTTTTGGCCAGAGATAGATTCATGATTTGAATGTTATAGGTTCGAATTCAGGATTCTATCACAGCCGATTTGGTTTATTGGATTCGAAATTTATAATTTATACTTGTTTAGTGAATTTTCAAGGCATATATAATTAGTTTGAGCCCAAAAAAAAACCGTTCTTATTGTTTGTTTCAGTTTTATGTCCTGAAACAAAGGAGCAACTGGCAAATTATACTACTAATAGATGAAATGAAGCATTAGTGAGTCTATGTCTATGGTGAGAAAACACCTTCCGTTTCAATTTGTTTATCTTTTTTTTCTCAAGTTGGTTTGAAAAAAGAACGTCTCTTTTCTTTATTTGTCAATAATTAAATTTCAACTTTTCATGTGACATATATAATATCACAAGATTAAGTGACATTTTGGTAATACCACAAGATCCAAAAATATTCTTTACTCTCTTAAATTTTGTGTCAAGTCAAAATCTGACAGACAAATTGAAACGGAACTAGTAATAACTAACAAAAGACACTAATGCCAGAAAGCTTCAAAATCCAAGTCACTTTGATTCTTGAATCATGGGCAATAATTAGCAAAAGCAAGAATCTGTGGATCATTTTCAAAAAGGGGCATGTCCTCTTCCAACAAATTAACTGATGCCTCAATGCCATCTCCATCTTTAGTTCCCATTAATATCACCAAATTCTTGAAAGATTTAATTGGACTACAAACCCATTCAGGTTTCCCCCATCCAAAATCCACTTCATACACTGGAAATCTGCACCAACTTGTAAAATTGCACACTTCTAAATCCCCCTTTGAAAAAGCTTTCGCGGTTTTTTCAATTGAATTATCATTCAATCTCGACCCATGTTGTTCAAACTCTTCAAAATTACTGTCATGTGTGTGTCCGGTCTTTAAAAAGCTATGCATTTTTGGAGAATCTGACACGGGTGCAGCAACAACATTCATATTTTTCACATAGTCTGCATTGACATTCCTAATTGATTTGTTCATTTTTTCAACCAATATTGTTATGTCATTACTCATTTCCCCTGCATTTTGCTCTGTTTTTACCACTGCAGGGGCTATAGCAACTGTCCAATAATTTCCAAACGTGTGATTAGGGACTGGTGGTTCCATGATTCCATCCTTGGCCTTATGTTCACTGCATGAACTGCTACGCAAATTTTCGCATATGTTGTCTTTGATCTATAAAGGGCAAGCACGCGACTCCATATGAGAGATGAAACGGCTTGGACTCGAGTTGGGAACTTGATATTTTCATCTGATGAATCAATAATCGCGGTTGATGCTTGTTTTTTCAGGGCTAGTATAGATGATGAATCGAAAATAAATCTTTTTGTAACGATTGTTTTGTTAGTTATCCCAATGTCATGAGAATAACGGGGCATTTCTCTAGGAGGGAAATTTCTTGCTGAATCAAAGATAGGAGGAGGGACAATATTAGCATTATAACCATGATAGTTATTTAAAGATTTGGAAGCCCATGAATTCAAGAAAGCAACTGCTGAAGTGCCATCAGCAATTTTATGAGAAATGCACACACCAATTGCCAAACCACCACACCTGAAGAAAAGATTCAAAAAATATAATCAAGATTTTTTTTCATGAGTCAAACACGTGAAAATATTTGTTTCCGTCAAAGTGCTCTCTTCTCATATAATAGCTTAGTCTACGAGAGAATATACGCTTTTAATTACTCTACTTAATTATATCATGTCTCAACATTCTAGGCAGAGGCGGACCCACCTTTATCGTGCATCCGTCAACTTCGAAGAAAATCATGTGTATATATGTATATCTATCTTGAGAAACTGACAGAAACTAGGATATAATTAACCGTGCATCCATGAGGAGCATAGTAGTGTTCTTGTGCTGTTAGTACAAGGCAGAGGAGCCACCCACGAGATTAGGGTTTGAATCCAACTAGCCGCGATTTCATTATTTTTATTTTAAGTTTAGCTTAGAGATCATATTTGGTGCACCCGAAGTTTTCAAATTATGTGTTCGCCTCTGAATAATATAAGGTAAACTATTTTTTATGAATATATAAGTAGTTGTTGAATCTCCTTAGCGATTAGTGAAAATCCTGGTCACGGCACTGGGCTAGTACCTCTATGTAGAAGAAGAAGAAGAAGCCATACCTGAATAAATTGGCTTGAGCAGCAACAAGCACTTCCCTCTCATATGCTTTTTCCTTGAACTTGCCCCAATTGCCAGTGGATTCAAATGGCAACAGCTGATTCAACAACTTCACATTTGAAGTTCCAATGATTTGTGAAATATCACAATTAACTCTAGCACCAATGAACTCTGCCCCTTCATCATTGCACTCAACAACAGAATAGTCATCTCTAAATGTGCCAGCCAATGGATAGTACTCACTTAGGCACTCACCTAATGATTTCTTCAACACAAATAACTTTTCATTAGTGTTAATACTTGTATTATTAAGGTAGAAAAGTAGCACAGGGATGTAAATGGGAGGAGAATTTTGATCAATAGAAGATAGAATATAGTTTCTAAGGTGATTTGGTGTTGGACATAATGGTTTAATTGTCTCCCTAGACACAACTTCAACACTAGTAGTAGCAGTAATCATAACCATTGTGGGTCAATTAATTAGCTAATATTATTGCTAATTTGTTGTTGAGTCTTGAAATTTATGAGTTGATCTATATACTAGTTACACAGGGACTGCAAGAGAAAATTACTACAAAAATGTTAATACCAATTTATGACTATGTCAAACTAAGTTATCAATTTGTATATGAACTTTGGCTTATTTATTTGGCTATATGTTAGAGATTCTTGTCACTTTTTTTTCTCTTGTAATTTTTATAAAAAGCATATTGCATTAGTGAAGTGGCAAGTGTAACCAATGCTCTAAGGAATAATCATCCAAATAATTAATAATAACTACCAAGATGCATGATCCAAATGCAAAAGATAAAATTTAAGTACTGATAAATAAATTTGTTACATAGTCCATAGGGGGAATTTGTATGATGAAAATTGAACTTACATCTACTGTGTGCGAGACTCTCACTGATATCACTAGACTATAAACTACTAAAAAAGATTTTCAACATTCAAATACATATGGACTTAAATAGATTGGTGCATATAGTTGTAAGAAGACAATAGAGGGTTCCTAGGAGTGTTCTAACAATATTGGAAAAGAATCGCATGAATATTTTGCGTTATAAGACTTGTATATTACGATATAAAACTAGATAAGGTATAAGTTCATGTCTTTAAGCCAAATTTGCAGCTGATAATATTGTGGATTAAAACTACAATAATTGGAGCATCTTGCCATCCTTGACTACAAATTTCAAATTGAAAAATAAAATTTGTGCCTTTTTGTTTCCAAGTAAAATTTGCACGCAAATGAGATTTAACTTCTAAATTTAAAGAGTACAAACTGTAATTGTTTAACTTGAGGGCTTGTTTGTTATTTTAAATAACTTCAGGGATCATTTTTGACATTGAGAATAAGTTCGAAGGCCTAGTAACGATTATGCTCACTTTCATTTTCCACCTCCCCTGTTCTCTCTCTCACACACACACTCTCGTCGCCGGCAATCGTCCTTCTCCCGTTTAATTGGTCAGTTCCTCCTTCCAGAAGTGGATCTAACTCTACATTTTGGAATACTGCTGTATCCATTGTTATTTTCGGTGTCAATGGATGCGGATTCAATATAAATTGATAAGTTTATAAGCTTTTCGACTATGTTTTGTTAATTTTTTCTAAAGTAAGTTAATTTTATGCAGCCTACTGCTCCTGGAGAACTAGTGAGTGCAAGTGATTTTGAAGGATTTGAAATTATTTTCTGCTTAAGGTATGCATCTGAAGCATAAAGGGACTATTGGCAATTCAGTGCTATTATTCAAATACTATATGATGTGTATTTCCTGTTTTTCATCTGTTCATAGAGAAATGTGTACTTTTATGTAACTTTGGTATAGCAGATGCAGCCTGCAATGTTGATAGATCTTTGGTGGTGGTGGTAGTAAAATTGAAACCTCAAATCAAATTTATTGAAATGTAGATAATGTTAAAACATCCTAGCTTTTCCACAGATATGCAGATGTAATAAATAGGGGGTTTGATAGTTAGGAGTTAGGACTTCAAATATAGTGAACTTTCTGTAAATGGCTGAATTGCATTTTCACCGGAAGAGTAATGCATTCTGTAGTAGCATTGAAGGGGAAGCTGATGTTTAAAGATCATTCCATTTTGTGCCCAGATTTAATAATCGAGTAGCTCTAGAAGCATGTGTGCAAGCTTGTAATGAAGGACATGATCTTTCTCAGGAGGGTAATGAGATTATTCGTGAGGCTTGCAAATGGATCCCGGATTAGAGGTTTAGAGCTACTGGCCCTTCCGATTTTGTTGTGGCTAAAACAAATGCAGTATCACAAAAGGGGGAAGAATCAGTGAATTATAGTTTAGCTGCATAGGAAATAGACAAAAATAGCTTGAATGGGGTAAAGTTTTAGCTCATTTCATTAGTGTAGTGTAAATACTGAAATAAAAGCCATTTCTGGATTCATTGAACATAAATGGAATAAGAGATCCATTTTCTACATGTTATGAAACACATCCTCTAAGGACTGCGGTATAACCGTATAAGGATGATCCGCCACTAGATAAAGTGGTTGATGCACATAGCAAAACTATTGTTTCTGCATATTGTGGTAAATAACTTTGGCTTGAGAGGATCAAAAGATGTTTTGAGGGGAAGGAGAGAACATTTTGTTGCTAAGGATAGATGCATCCAGAGTTCAAATTTGGTGTAATGCTAAATTTGTGATTTTGATGAAATGCTGGATTTTCTGGGTTCGTTACAGCTTTAGAAGATTGTATGTAGCTTTGTTGTACTTTGTTGCAGTACCAGCTTGGTATTGAGTTTATATTAATAGTACCTTTACTTGTCAAAAAAAAAGAATAAGAAAAAACAGCAGCAAGGTTAGCTTGCATGAAGGGTAAACTATTTTAGTTGTTAATGGTTAATTGAAACTTATAGAAATTTCCCCCCTTTCTCGTTTATTAGATTAAAATGTCAAATGATGTG